TTTATTAATAAAACCGACTGTGGCCACGTTCCCGGAACAATTCTTGAGACAGCACAAAAACATAAGACTCGCAGCATACCAACTGGTAGACGGTCATAGAAATATATTTATACATAAATATATATATATATATACGTATGTATATATTTCTATATTTGCACAGTGCGCATTCGAATTATTGAACATGCGCCGAACTATTAAACTGTTCGCCCCAAAATTAATAATTTTGCGGTAGCAGTTTCTGTTTCTAGTTTCTTACAGTTTTTTAAAATACATATTTATTTATAGCTGATTGACTGACTGACTGACTGACTGATTGACTGACTGACTGACTGACTGATTGATTGACTGACTGACTGACCGACTGACTGAGCGACTGACTGACTGACTGACTGATTGATCAATCCACAGCTCAAATCAAATTAGAGAATAAGTTGCATTCTTTTCAGTAGTATAAACTCTATCGTAGAAATGATTCCACCGCCAAGCGTGTAAAATAGGTGGGAACCAGTTGATAAAAGTCAAATCTACGGCCGAAAAAAATCCACCGCCAATCGTGGAAAATAGATGATGGACAACAAATGTGAGAAAGTTGTTCGTTTATTATTTTAATATCATTATCTGAAATTTATAGTCATATTTAGGGAAAGTTCTTTAAAATAATTAGAATAAATGAAGAGGTTTCCTCCAATTCCACCGCCAAGCGTGGAAAATATGTGGGAATGAGTTATGAGAACGTTTTTTCGGCTTATTAACTAAATATGAGTTTTTGGACTTTAAACTTATATATAAAAATTATTAGGAATATATCTTCTTGCATTTTGTATAAAATTTTTTAACTGAGTAAAAAATGAGGAGATTTTCTTCAATCGGCTCTCAGTTTGTTTTCTAACTAAATAATGTATTGCAATAATTGTATTATGATTTGTATGATCATAGGCAGTAGCTATATAAACTATCAAATCAACTTTATAGGGCAACAGTAGACACTTTCATTAGGCCGATTTCAGGCAGGGACTCGAACCTCATTATTCAGTTGCTTTAATGAGACACGTGAACAACTCTTTGAGGCAACTGTCTTGAAAGAGGGAGAATTGTTAGGCAATGTATATGAATATATATAAAGTTAATTATTTTATGCTTTCCATTATTTTAATATTCAATTAATTGAATTATTAAAAATATTATATAATGAAATTGAAAAGAATTTCGAAAATACAATAATTATAATTTTGCTTATGGTTTGAGCTCAATTTCCTTTAGTAAATTTTAGAATCTTAAATGCAAAAGCAATAAAAAATCGCATGACAGTCTATTTTTTAGTATTAGACATTTATAGGAAGTGTTTACTGTTGCCTAATGTGCTCGTATATGTACTCACATCATATATATATATAGATATATACATTTATATATATATATATATATATATATATATCTCGTCTGCTGCTCGCATCTCTTGTGATTCATTGGCCATAGCTCATGTCTGGGTCAGCCAACACACGCACACACCATGGACACCCACAGCTTTGTCTGTGTGTGTGTGGTGTGTGTCTCAGTTTGACAAAAATAAAGTTGACATTTTCATGCTGAGAATGTCGCTGGATTTGCTGCTGTTTTTCAAGAGGGGGGATCGAGAGGCTGTCCACGCCTTGAAACACAGCATTTAACATGTGATTTATGTGCTGGGAAAACAAATCAATAACATTTAATACGCACACTAATTTACTCAACCCACACACACACACACAGATCTTTGGAAATATTTATGGACAAATTCCAGCTAAGCTGCCACCAGTTCGCCGGGCAGGTAAACTTGATTTATCCGGCGTGTTCCTTATGCTCAATGCCGGGCTATTAATTAGAAATATATCAAAATATTTTGCCTTCTTTTTCGGTTCAGGCCGCGACCTCCGTTTCCACTGTGCACCGTGGGCCTGCCCGCGAATTGATTTATCTATGGCCTGAACGATTTTGGCAAGCGGCAAGGGGCAAGGGGCGCGGGGCGGGGCAAGGTCAAGGCGAGTTGTCAACGCAGCTTTGAACTTAGATTTCAATGGAAATCGTATCAAAAGTATTTTGTTGTTTTCTTTTTTTCATGTCTGCAGTTTTGATTGAGAGAGGCGCCCCACAAAAAAAAAAAACAAAAACCTTTTTGCATTTCGCGGAACTATGACAACTCTGCCAGGGTCTGGGCCTGGCTCTGGGCTGGGTCAGCCAAGTGTTTGGGTTTTTGGTTTTTGGTTTTTGGGCAGCCGCTGACTGACAGTCGGAGCGACAGGCCAGTCAGACCTTTGCGCTGGGTTTCACTTACTAAGCGGCTTAAGGCCGCACCTGATGAGCCGAAGGAGTCCAGTTCCAATTGCCACAACCACGTCCACATTGGCCACCATTTGCCGCTCTCTTTTTCCCAATTTGCTGTGGCAAGTCAAGATTATTTTCTGTTTAATTTTTATTTCTTTTCTTTTCATTTTTAATTAGCCACAGCAATTGGTAATCGTGTTGTGGCTGCTGTCATTGAGCATTTTCAATTTTGGTTTTTTTTTATGAAATACCCTAGAAAGAGGGCTTACAAAGGGGCATATTGCCTAACTGCGAATGTATGTGACGGGCAGGCGACAGCTCTGGCAGGCGACAACTCTGACTCCTTAATATATACATATATTCTTTATCGATCGAACCTAGGCTAGGTTCAAGTCAGCTTAAAGTCTGCGACTTGCTCTCCGCGAGCGATAAATATCGATTTTCGGCATATATTTCTATGCATATACCAGATATTATATAAAGTAAATGTTTATATTGTTATCGATAATTATTATAGAATAACTATTATAAATGTTACCACATGGAGAACTCTATCCGTTTCAAGTAAATCGATATATATCGATATACAAAATACTTTAATACACAAATGTACTTTATCAGCTTTTACAATAGTACATGGAAAACTCTGCCCATTTCTTTTAAATCGCTAAATATCGATAGTTTCTGCGCATATAGCAGATATATATTCAAGCTCGAGTCATCCAATTTCTTATGAAGGTTCTTGTATAGCCTCATCAGTTTAAGAAAATGCCAATATTTCGGCACAATAACCCGAGTCGATCCCCATCCTCTTAAAACTGTCAAAATGTCACAGGCATATCGATTCTTTTTTTGTATATTCACGCATTTGAATATCATTTTAAAGCTCTGAGAACGACGAAACGATCACACAGTAAATACAAAAGTTATATTTAACATAAGCTAGAGCTTAGCGCAAGAGGAAGAGGCACAATTGCGTAACTGGGTAACAGGGTATCTGCGCGTGAGGCACGCTCGCCTAGAGCACTTCAATTGGCTTGTAATTGGGACAGCATAGAGATAGAGACAAGTGTAAGACATGTGTTAGGCCAACTTGAAGTTTAATGAGCTGCGTCATAAATTCAATTTGATGTGTCTGCCCGAAGCAATGAATATTAATAAGCTCACTGAGCAATTGCAATTGGAATTGGAATTAAAATTGTAATTGTCCAGGGCCAGGGGGGGTAGAGGGCGGTTACAGCGTGTTGACAAATGATGTGGCAACTGTGTGAAATTTTGATAAATACCTTAAACCGATGAAATGTCCGGGGGAGAACAAAGCGCTGCCAAAAATCGAGAATCGCAAACTTCCGGCTTCGGTTGTCGTCGCGTCACTTCAATTAATTTCAGGTCAACTTTTTGTTTATGCCAGCTGCCGGTTCACTTAACTGTTAACGCGCTCTACAACAACAACAACAATGATAATAATATAATATTAATAATAATAATAATATTAATCGAAATCGCAGGCAACGTCATGTTGTACAAATTGCCTTTGTCCGGCTGATTCAAGTGTTTCCACTCGACCATGAAAAAAAAAAGCGCGCACACACTCGCGTCGAACTCTTGAATGCCCTTTGTTTTGTGCCTATAGAGTATAGAGTTTGAGTAAATTACAGCTGATACGATCAGCCATAAAGTTCAAGCTACCCAAGTTACTTGGTTTGTTTTTTTATTCATTTCCAGATATTTTCTTTGTAATTAATTTAAACGATTTATTTACTTACAATGCAATGCTGTTAAGCTTTTAGTTTTAAATAAATTAGGTAATTATTTTCCATATCTTTTAGTTATTATAACTATGAAGAGTACAAACAGTTCAAAGAAAAGGTATTTTAGTTATTTTTAAAGTATAAGTTCTCTAGATCAAGTCAAGCGCAGGCCCTGAGCTCTCGATTTATTTTGGCATATTCTTAGGAATGTTTTACGTAGCTTCTTTAACAGTAAAATCTCTCTTGAGAGAATTGACATTTTTTTAAAAATAATTTTCGTGCCTTTAAAGTCGTACATTAGCTTTAAGGAAGACATAATACTTTTTGGCTCACTACTTTCACGCTTGCCGCACGGCAACACTGTTTGTACATATTTATCGACCTTAACAGCATTATGTTGATGCTGTTAAGGCAATCACAGGCAAGCAGTAGCCAATTTTAGCTATTTTCTAGCTTAATTTGGCTAATTGTTGAACTCATCAGCCGGAAACAATTGAGATTTTATTATAATTGAGATTTTTGGCATTTTAAATACTAGCAAAGCAGTTTGTTGTTTATTTGTGCTCAGCTATTTTTGGCTTAGTTTGACATGGGTTGCTGCTACTTTTTTTGAAGCGACGCTTGGCAACACTGTTTGCCAGCAATAGTTTACACGTTAAAGTTTACCCGGGCTCCTTTAGGGCTGACAAGCTGAGCGCGGCGCGGACTGAGCTTATGATGGACAGGTCAGCGCGGCTGGCAGACAAAGGAATTGTGGAATTGTTAATGAGCATGAGGATACACGTTACAGAGACAGAAGTCGAGACAGATCCGTCTTGTTGCTTAAATTAAGCGAGGCGTGCCAAGTGACTAGGAATCGCGAAAGTGAATGCCCGAACAATGCTCTGTTTTATTTTCTGAGCACTCAATAAAGATATGTTCCTCTGTCTCTCTGTCTCCTTGCAGTTCAAGATGACGCAGCTGTGTTGCACAGTTTTGCTGCTGCTGCTGCTGCTGGCGGCGGCTTCAACAGGTAGCCACAACAACACCCGCTCGCACAACCATCGGCTGCATCGACAGCGTCATCCGCACAGTGTCAAGTCGGAGGTGGAGCTGCTGCCGGGCGTGACAATGCGTCCGGTGCGCGGCACGGACAGCACGCGGCTGCGCCGTCTGCCCCATCATGCCCAACAGCCGTACAACAAGGTCTTGACGCGACGCCTGCATCAGCATCAGCAGCATTCGGGCGCCCGGCCCACCGAGTGGGATTACAATACCTATAACATCTATACGAACACCTTTGGACCGCCGCCGCCGCCGCTGCCGCCGGTCTCGCCGTACGCCGGCAAGGGTGAGGACAACACGGGCGATGTGGAGTTTATCGGCGTCAGCGGACGCGGACGTGGCTACGAGTATGTGCCGCCCATCACAACCGCGGCGCCACCGCCGAATCTCAATCGTCGCGCCATCACGCCCGGCCTCAGCATGGGCACCGTGCCGCCGCTGGTGCCAGCCCGGCGTGGCTATAGCTACACGACAACGGCGCCCAGCACCTCCACCAGCAGCACCACCACCAGCACCACCAGCAGCATCAGCAGCACCACCGAGGAGCCCTACGAGACGAACACAATCAGTCGCAATTATCCCACAGATGCCAAGGAGATGGAGCGGTAAGTTTGGCAGCCAGTGCAGCGGCTGATAATTTATATTATACTCTGTGATTTGTTATTATACCCTGTACAGCATTGAATAAGTGTGAATTGGGGTGTATTGCATTTGATTAGTTTTAATCAGCTACATCTCTTTGTCGATCTCAGAGATTATAATTTATACCAAGTGATTTTTCATGATACCCTGTACAGCATTGAAGAAGTGTGAAATAGGGTATCTCCGAGATTGGCACGAGTGTGTGACATGACAAGCCTATCAACAGGGTATCTCCTAGTCGAACTCTCTAGAGAACTACCTTTTTTTCGAAAAAGTAAGGTCACGACTGTTCGATAAAGAAAAAAAACAAAAGGTTGATTTTTTAAAAAATACGTCTTTATTTTTGAAAATAAATGCATAATTATTTATGCTTAACTACTTTTACGCTTGCTGCACAGCAACACTGCTCCATCGGTTTTACTTAACAGATTGTCTTACAAAAACTATAGCTTAACTACTTTTACGCTTGCTGCACAGCAACACTGTTTTTATATGCTTTATTGTTGACATATAACACAACGCAAAAATAGGAATGAAAATCTTGCCTTGACATTTTCTGGCTTGCTGCACGGCAACACTGTTAATATCTTCTGTAACGATTTCACTTAACAGAATGTTATTATTGCTACTGCTAAAAATAAATGTATTGGTATTTTGCTTTGCTACTTCTACGCCTGCAGCACAGCAACACTGTTATCTTATCTAAAGTAACTTAACAGAATCTTATTGATTCTGTTAGCATAGTTAACAGACTTAAATTTAAATGTAAGCATGTGATGACAATAACAGGGTCTGTAGGGTATCTGCCAGTCGTGCAGTTTGTAGCCGTATTTTTCAGCTGGGCGTGTGCAATTGCATTTAGTTAACGGCCGCGGGACCGGCCCAAGCAATGTTCAAGGCTGTGCCAGCGATAAATTTTCACCTCTACCTCTACCTCTACCTTTACCTGTGCTGAGCTGCCCCTAAGCAGAGCTTATCTGAGAGCTCATAAATTATTGAAATGTGAATTGTTTCAATGTCACAAGACGCAGCGCGAAGAGGCAGCAGCAGCAGCAGCAGCTGCTGCCCTCTAAGATCGCTTCAAATGGCAGCTGCGGACGGGACAACTTATTAGCCTCAAGGCCAAGTGGCCAATCGTCGACTTGTTTTGCCCGTTTTCAATTGTTATGTCAATTGCAACAAATCAAAATGCGCACTTCTTCAAGTTGCAGCTCCTTAAATGTAACAAACGACAATGCAGCAAAAGCCACACGAACTGGCCAAGATTGCGACTGGCATTGAACGCGACCGAGCTCAAGTGATGTTAGGGCATTTTGTAGGGTATATGCATGTTACGCAGGCGTTTGCAACAGGCAGATGAAGGCGTCTACGAATCTATAAAGTTATATATAGGAATATATCTTAGCTTATTAAGCCAAACAGTCTACGCAGTTTCTCTTTCTTTGTAGAGGTAGTAAGGGCATCTCCCAGTCGTATACTGCAGCCTAAGATATCTCTTGCTTGTTCTTGCCGTCTGCCTGATCATTTTAAGGTAATGAACTTTAACGAGTTTTCAATTGGCAGTGTTGATGGTTTTCTAATTGGAATTAATGTGCGTCTACTTAAGGGCCGTGGCATGCCACAGTTGCAATCGCAGCGTGTTGCAGCTGCAAATGCCAAATGCCAATTGGCAACGTTGCGTATGTGCAACGCCTCTGCGTTTCAAGGAAGGTGTTGCTCTGCTTGCTGTTGTTGTTGTCGCTGCTATTTTGTTGCCAGTTATGACATATTTTGATTTATGTGCCAGCTACAACAACAACAACAGCAACAACATCGGCAGCAAAACTGCCAAAAAGCGCCCGCAGGCAAATCTGGCAAACCGCAAAAACCACTCGCATCATCAGTCATAAATTGCAGGCGCTGCACCGTGGTTCAAGCAGCTGCGACTACCGTGTGACCATCTTTCGCTCTTCTCAGAATATCATTAAGCTGAAAACAAGTCTTCGCTTGAATACCTGGAATAGCAGCAGCTACCTTTACAAGCATTCTAGCTTTTGCTCGTGTATAGCTGCAGCAGCTCTGCGGCGTCTTCTCTTGGCCCCAGCCTATCTATGAGGAAAGTCATTCTTTGTTAACTTCGGTGCCTATTGTCCGATCCTTATGAAATTTTCATTTGCTTAAAAAGTATTTACATACCTTAGCGCAAGATGCTGTCTTTTAAGCTAAGTTTAATTCCTCAATTTTGGACGAGAGTGAAGAAGTATTAAAAATGTGAATTATAACTATTCTGAGTATACTCTGAGAGAATATGCGTAGCTAGTTGGGCATATCCAGCTCTTATGCTTACTTAGCTAGATTATATACAAGATATATATAGTATATAGCTTTATAGAGTCTTCCATAATATGCAATGCTTAATAAACCCTGCCTGGAAATATATATTTAACTATATATATATTTATTTTATTTCAACAATTTAACTATATTATGAAAATGTTGGTAATTTACAAGCTTGTATATTTACAATTTCAAGCCTTCAGCTCTAGCAGTGTTCGAGATTGCGATATCGAGATTTTTCAACCATTTAAACCTAATACGTGCACCACTGTGCTGAGCTCATGTTTACGTAGGCGAATGCGGCAGCAGCAGCGGCAACAACAACGATAACAAATTCGATGCTGGCTTGCCACTATTTCTATTTATTCAAGCGCTGCACGTGCAGCAACATTCAGTTGCAACTGCAACTAGTTGCTGCCACAGCGTTTATGGAAATGACGGCTCGGCCAGTTGACGCTTGGACTATTCACACGCTGCCGTCGCCGTCGCGCGAGTCTCTAATGGACAGTGCAACGTTTCAATTGCAGTTGCCGCCGGAGGCCTGTAATGCGGTGTTAATCAGCGTCATATATGCGCCGATTTGCAGATATGAAGCGATATCGTTACAAGCGTGCTCTAATCGCAAGTGCCCGACTGACAGATACCCTACTAAACAGCTTTTTAATGCATCAAAATCACAGCCGATTGCTGTGACATTCTCCAGGGCTAGGAGATGACATTCGAATAAGTTTATATGCCAGAATTCTAGAGTCTTTGGGGGATTAGAAAGAATAAAGGTTCCTCATCCGTGAGTAATGAATATACCATCTTTGTTTTTTCTAACTTCGATAATCTTCGATATATGCTCAGAAAACATTGTCTGAAAATCGATAATTATCGATTTCTTGATTCGTATTAGCCCTACATATATGAGACTCCATGTTGAATTAGTCGCTGCTTGCTTCAAGAATCTTCCATCAGAGAACATAGACTGAAAATCGATAACTATCGATGCCGCTGATGATCGATATCTTGACACTATATGTGAATTGGATTGCCAAATTAGATGTCCCTTCGATATATACTCAAACAAATATAGGCTTACATATGTATATATATCGGATACTTTAATGTCTTTTAGTTTTTTTTTTCTATATAACATCTTCCAGATCGGATCAGATATCAGGGCTGTGTCTAGTCGGCTGCTGCTGGAGCAGACTTATGTTTATATTTTATGGGGTCAATGTTATCTGCTGCTGTATGTTCCAAGCATGCCCAGCTTAAAGCACAGTTTACAGGGTATACAGACCGCCGCCTCTGCTGTTGAAGATTTCAATTTATGCCTGTCCTGTTTTGTGCATGTTGCTCGCGATTTGTTGTTGTTGCCGCTGTCGCAGCTGACAATTGATGGATGTCTGTGTTTTCTTTTAATTTGTCCTCTTTTTTTTTTTTTTTTGGGGCGCACACTTTGATGGCAGAGTTTGATTTCGTTTACGATTTGTATTTGGCTTGGATTTTGGCGGCACGACTATTAATTATGCATGTATTCCGCGTGGTTGCTGCAACAAGGTGTTTGCTTGCACGTGTATGCCACAAATGGAAAGGCCACTTGCCGCAGCCAGGCAGTTTGGTTAATCTGCTTGGCTCCATCTGCGCATAAAATGCCCCCAAAGTATTGAAAACAAAGCAGGGCCTTGACTCCAATAGCAGCAACAAGCGGCAGGCATTTGCAATTGCCGCAGCAACATAAAAGCTGCAACAATTGGCAACAAATACTTAAATCAAATGGAACAACAATGCAGTTAGCCGCAACAACAGCAAAAATAACAAGTACCTGAGCTACAGATGTCAGTGCCCGACTAGGCGATGCCCTGTTTAATATTCTAACTGCCTGCTGTACAAATATTCATCAAAAGGTCTTGAGTAACTCGGGTGTCAATAGTCCGATATTTCTAAAGTTTGTAGAGCATGAATTAGATATCAAAATGTGTATAAATTCCCGAGCCCAAGGATTTAGCTACACAAATGAGTTTTTAACAATTTCCGGCGTGAACTTAGAAAGTTATTCAAAAAATTATAGAAGATATATACAAAATTTGGCTTTATCTAGCTCTCACATGTTTCGAGTTATGCTTGGCTAACAACTTCGATATTTATCGATATTTTTAATTAATCGATTTCCGTGATAAACGATAAAAGTGATTTGAACAAAGATATATTATTTATCTTTATATACTAAAAAAGAAGATATATATAAAGTATCGTTTATCTAACTCTTATAATTTTCGAGCTATGCGTAATTCTCACATTCGATACTTATCGATATTTAGGAAATGATATTAATTATCGATATTTAAAAAATGGAAGTAATTATCGATAAACTGTTGCTGCGTGTGATAATTAGAATATATTTACATGCTTTAAGCGCTCAGATATGCTTCCTTCTGCCTGTTACATCTTTAGGCACACAGTCAGCATACCCCTATTGGCAATTTTCAATGGTTCTAGGGTATTACAATAAGCAGAGTTATGTGCACTTTAAGCAACTTTGTGACCCTAAGCACTGCCACAAGGCGAACGCACAGCTGAGCTGCAGTTGGCCGCCTGCAAATTGCTTGTCAACGATCGAGGGCGGCAACATGGGGCATGCAACAGGCCCGAGCCCGAG